GGGAATTTCATTACAAATGTATATTGCATGCAATGTTTAAACAAAGCTAAACTGCAAATCTGCATTTACTAGAGTATACGACTTATATTTACCCAATTTTGTTTTAGAGATCTACAGGATGCCTTAGTAATTTTGCAATTGTATGAGAAGATTAAAGTTCCCGTTGACTGGAATAAAGTGAACAAGCCACCATATCCTAAACTTGGGGCAAATATGAAAAAGGTAAATAGACACATTGATGCAGATTTTTAATGCTCCGAGGTGAGATAACATTAAATCGCGGGGATATTGTTTATGTTCAATGTCTTGCTGAGAATTTGTTTTAAGATGATGTCCTTTTAACCTTCAGCTTGAGAACTGCAACTATGCAGTTGACTTGGGGAAGCATCCTGCTAAGTTCTCTCTTGTGGGGATTGGAGGTCAGGATCTGAATGATGGAAATCCAACACTGACCTTGGCCTTGGTCTGGCAACTGATGAGACGGTGAGCATTTCTGCATGCAAAGTAGTTTAACACGGTTTGCACACAGTTTTAATCGGAATATCTTTTTCTGTAAAACAGCGTTTATTATTATTATGCTTTAAGCTAAAAAAGCTTTGATCAAACATAATTTTACACAAGAAGACAATGGACTCAAGTCCAATATTTTGCCTAGATCTGTAAAGATTAGATGAGCAGTTGTATTATGTCTCTGCTTAGTTAATAAGTGTTTAAATTGTTACATGATCACTAAAAATGTGTTACATATTTAATCAAACGAGCCACACATAGTTCTATAAGTAATGCTTAAACAGTTTTATCAAGACCCTAGTTTGTAGCAGGTTTAGTTCTTATCATATCTTAATGAGGTATTTTTTGGACAGATGGCAACATTGTACTTCTCAAAGTCCTTTGAAATGTCTAATGTTACAGACAATCTTGACTCTCATGCAGCTAGATTTTCTCCTCTTTATGTTTACTAGTATCTGTTTTTAAAGCGAAGATAACTGAAAATGATATTGACAAGTCACAATAAATTGCTAGCTGGTGCGCTATCTGCAAGTAATGCAAATTGAAAGAATGATAGGTGATCATAACATGAGTTTTTGTTTATGTAACTTTTTCATTTTTTACCTTTGTTGTTGAAATATGTAGTTGTATATGTAATTAGGTTTTTTCCTGTCTTTCTTATGCCTCTCTTCTTATAATTAGTCAAAGGCATTCTATGAAGAAACAGTAAAAAGTAAGAATAAAAAGCTGGACAGACAGCAAATATCACCTGAATAAAGAACTAGGAAACTTTCATTAAAGGGAAGTTCTAGTTTAAAGGTGCATTTCTGCAATGCCATGCAGATAAGGTTAGAAACTGAAATCAGAACTTAAACTCGCTTAGATGGATCGTGTCCAAATATGTAATCTGACAAAGTTTATACTAGCTTTTATAAATGTGTTTTTTTTTTTTGTTTGTTTTACGTACTATTCAATGTTTTCCTTGCTTTATTTTGGTTTGTTAATGTATTTTAAACTATTTGTTTGCTTGCTAGTTTAAAAAAAAATAAAAAAATTTGTGTCTCTTTAAACTAGTATAGTGTACAATCAAACTATTGAAGTGATGGTTAAACCTTTTGGTTCTTCACTTTAGGTACACACTCAATATGCTGGAGGGCCTGGGTGATGGCCAGAAAGCAAATGATGACATAATTGTAAATTGGGTGAATAGTTCATTAGCTGAAGCTGGGAAGACCACCTCTATTCAGAGTTTTAAGGTAAAAAAAAACAAAACATGTTTCTAAATCATACATGGTTTGAGTAAGATCAATCTGCATAATGTGGTGTCAAATTACAGAAATTATAAATATGTATTTCTTTTCCTGTCTTCTAAAATTATTTTTAATTCAGGAGATGACACAATGGCTTTGAGATTGAGAGCGGTCTATTTCAGTAGTCTGTGTTTTTCAGGCTACGAATTAACAAATAAATATTGAGTCAGTAATGATCGTTCTGTCACTTATGGCCGTGGACTACATTTCCCATAATCCTTGACTCTTGGAAATGGCATTCAAAAACGTATGCCGTACTAGGTTTAGCCAGCAATGTATTAGGAGATATTTGATAATTGCCTCCTTAACTAGCATATTTAGATATCTTTGGATAAATGTCTTTTGCTCTTTTTTGCGATAATTTGAGATGATGTGAAAATTTGGAACATAAAACTTAATCTTGTAGTTATTAAATACACTTTCATGCTAATTCACCAATCTATTAGTATATATTATTAGTGATTGAGATGAACATTAGATTGCGGGATTATGCACATAAATCCATTTAAATCGATTTAGAAATGTTTTCTCCAAAAACAATTATCAATTTATTTTCCTCATTATTTGTTTTATTGGTAATCAAGACATGCAATATCACACATTTTTTTTTCCTTTTGTAGGACAAAACAATCTCCACCAGTTTAGCAGTAGTGGATCTGATCGATGCCATTCAACCTGGATGTATTAATTATGAACTTGTAAAGACTGGCGATCTTACTGATGAAGACAAGCATGAGAATGCCAAGTAAGTTTCCAACAATGTTCCCTGCATAAAACCATATAGTTAATCTGTTCCCATGCAATTTTGGTTTGTCCTTGGCCACACTTTGGCAGATCAACCATAATGCTATAGAAAGTTTACACTCTTTTGATATCAATTTGAATAGATTTTATTAGTGTGTTTTTTTTTTTTTGTTTTTTTTTTTGCTGACTATAGCAAGTAACCACCATTTGAAGACGTTGTGCTTTGACTCCTTTTTTTTTTTTTTTTTTAAGGGAATTAACCATTTTTGATTGCTACATCTCTTCCATTGGGGTTTTGCTTCCTAATATGGGGCTTGTTGAAATCACACCTTAAAGAAACACTCCATGCACCATAACGAGTGCAGTGCAATGTAGTAGTTCTAGTGCTGGAATGCACTGGCACATTACCTCCCTCTATTGCAACTAGCCAAATTGTTTTAGAATGGTTTTACCCCGGGTCTACTGGGAGCTGCTCACTGCCACCACTTCTTCAGGCAGAGAAAAAGATGGAAGATCTCTGTCTGACCTAAGTCCAGTAGGTGTAAACTATTTTTACTACTTACAAAAGGCGGGTGCCAGGATGTGTTATAGTGGCTATAGTGCTTGGAGTCTTCTTTTAAATTGCCAATCTGGGCTTCTATATATCATAGTTTGTCCAACGTTTGGCAGAACTTGTAAATCCAAATAACCTCATGGGTCTTTTAACATCCCCCGATCTTGTGTTTAATTGAGTTGACTTTGCTTCTTTTTTTTTTTTCCCTCTCCTGTCCTATTCAATGGATAACATTCTCATTTTCCTCCTACAAGATATGCAGTGTCTATGGCGAGACGTATTGGTGCAAGAGTATATGCTCTTCCAGAGGACCTTGTAGAAGTGAAACCCAAGATGGTCATGATAGTGTTTGCCTGCTTGATGGGACGAGGGATGAAGAAAGCATAAATTTGACATTCCAGATTGGAGGAAGAGTGTGAACCCCCCCCACCCTGAATATATATTACCATTTTATCAGCCCCACACCTAGTTCTACATTGGGTGTAAGGGTTGCTAAATGTGGCAAGACTTTCAGGTGTTCCTAGCAACATTAGAAACCTCCCAATCCTCAGGAAGAAGCGCTGTAAAGCCACAAGTGCTCTCTTTCCGGTTGACCATTCAAGTTCACACCGAAATGCATTCATGCTTTGGACTGTTTGGCTTTTCCCGGTTATATCATTTTTGCTGTTCTACGAAACCGTCAATGTATTGCAGAGCTTTGTGATGCAAACATATGCTGCAGAAAATGGGGTATAAAAACTGGAGAACTCCCAATAGGTTTTATTTTCTGGTACTGCAGCTATATTTTCATAAGGTGATAGAATTTATAACCCATATCTCTCATTCTTGTCTAGTTAAAATAATATACATCATCATGTCTGTGGCTTTTTTTTTTTTTTTTTGAAATAAATCTGATGGGTAAACACAGACCTATTTTTTATTTTTATTGCTTTTCTACTTGAGGGGTGTATTTTTGTAACCGAAACAGGCCATCATGTTCTCCTGAGCAAATGGATTCTGCTGTTTCATTGGGTTGTTTGCTAGCATTCTAAAACACTACAACTATAGTCCGTTTTCCCTCTAAGGCGAGTATCTCAGGCTGGAAATGGTTCAAATAATTTCTTATGACAAAATCTACAGAACATGCTTGCCTGCATATCTTCTGCAACTGCAGTGTGATTTTTATTTTATTTTTTCCGGATGACTTTATTGATAATTATTTCAGCTCTGGATGGCTCACCTTAGAGGGATTACTGCCTTTGAATTTAAATGCTTGATTAAAAGTGGCGTGCAAAGTGCTGAAAGGCTTACAGGACCCGGCTATTTACTCTTAGAATAGTATGGGAACATACAAACATAGCATACATGTGGCTCAGTTATGTTTAATATTGTGTATCAACCGCTGCCATCATTTTTTCTGACTTCTATAATTTGCAATCTGGTATTGCTTAAACACCAAAATAAAACCACTAAAAGGGAGGTGTGTTTTTTTTGTGTGTGTTGTGACTAGTAAATGTCTGCCAAATGTCTGTTAATACATATTGCATGCAGTGTTCTCATGAACCAAAAAAAAGAACCACTGGGGTCTATACACTAAATAACAAATTGTTAAAGTGGTTGGAAAGTTCTGATTTGAAATAAGCCTTCCACTCTGCACAGCATAGCTATTTTACGCTAGTTGTTACGGTTTTGGTTAAAGTTGACCAATTTACCATTTATTGAATAAACCCCATTGTCGTGCTTCTGTGTGAAAGAACGGTGAATTGGCTTCCCCATACAGGTTTATTTTGCTGATGTTGTTCCAGTGAAATCGGATAATTGCAAAAGTATACACTTGGGACAGATATATGGTGCATTTTATGGGAGATATTATCTAGATCAGGGGTTCTCAACCCAGTCCTCAAGGACCCCCGACCTGTCCAGGATTTATGGATTACCCTGCTGTGTCTAATGTGTTTTTAGGTGGAGCGGGGGGAAACAAACACTTTAGACACAACAGGGTAATCTCTAAATCCTGGACTGGTAAGGGGTCCTTGAGGACTGGGTTGAGAACCCCTGATCTAGATCTTTTTACTTTTTAGAACTTGTCTCAAGGGAATTCCTGCTACATTTTAGTTACCATTAAATGGTATAGCAGGTGTATTGGGTTTTACATAGAGGAGTGATTATCATACTATTAGAGTGTACCGTGGAAGAATTCGGGTTAGTTAAGCACATATATTGTTTTGTAACTTAAACCAGTGGTTAACTTGAAAATGGTCTGTTGCTAGGTAATCCACAAATTGGCACACACTGCAAATATTTGTTCCAGGGTGGTCAAACCATCATGTATTTTAAGAACACTTAGAACAAATACACAATTCAGCTATATTTGCTTGTGGGTTTTCCGAAATAACATCATGGAACCTGAAAAGGCATACATTCAGCGATGGCTAGGATATTTGCATAAAAAATAAAGGCTAGATGTGTTTCAAAAATGTTTCATGGTCCTTCTTAAAAATTGGATAATGTCAATAGTATGTAGAAATTATATAGCATATTCTATTCCATACCATTTTGAATTCTTCCGAGAGGGTTGATATAAGTAGGAACTTGACAAGAACCTCTGTTCCATCCTGGCATTTTCCTCAAACATCGACATTCCCCCAATCTAGACTGAGTGGAAGATCTCCACTAAAAATAAACAGAAATGTATCCAAATGTAATGGTGGACTGACATTTAGATGCCTAGTTTAGAGGAGAAGATGCTGTTCCTTTAATTATGTAACCTACTTAAATTAATGGGATTTTAAATATATTTTTTCTTTTTGGTCCACACACACCTTCAGTTTGAGTAAATGGTCTACTAGATGTATCATAATCTACGTGTAAATGATATACTTCAGTTTTATCTTTTTTGTTTTTTTGTTGTTCTTGAGATTCTAATGGTTGTCTAAATGTTTAGCAGTAAAACCTTTCAGCCAATTTAATTTGTCTAAAATTCTTTCATCTCTAACTTTGTTCCAAACATGAATACAGGACATATATAGATTTGTTTTGTATAAGGCTTGCAAGCATTTAGTATTTTTGTAAGTTAACATTTTTTATTTAAAGTTTGTATTGGCTATAAAACATTCCTGTTTTATCTGGGATTGCTGGTTTCAAGCCAGAGAACATAGACTGCACACGGCCATATTTTCTTCGCATCTGAAAAGATAAAACAAGCACCAAAGGATTAACATTTTTATTCAAACATTTTGCAATAGCTTTGGCAAGCGGTTTGCTTGATTTTAAGATCATGCTGCTATTTTAACCTGTTCAAAAAGATATGGTGGCAAAGCAAAATTCTAATAAAAAAAAACATAAATCTATTTCAATGTGCTTTTGTGTATTTTTTAGGTTGAGATAAAAGTAGTTTGGCGTTTTGTTACCTTAACTTCTTACCTTAAAGGGACTCTCCAGATTGGATTTAACCCACCACTCTTTAGTGTCACGTGCATACCAATATACCTAAATATAGGCCAAAAATAAATTTATAATCAAAAACACATATTAGAAGGTGACTCAGCCACTATGATGTTCAGTTAATATTCTGTAGAATTGCCGAGTGTCTTCCATAAATCTCTGCAACAGAGAACAGTTTTATGGGCACAGCAGGGAAGTTATAACATTCTGCATAGCTGCATTCTTGGAGAATCAAAAAGAAACCATGCATGTTGAGAGGGAGGGACAAAAAGGTTAGGCTTATGGAGCACTATTTTTTTTTATTTTGATAGTAGTGAAAAGAGAATCAAAACCTAAAAGTCTAATAAAAACACATCCAAAATTACCTACCCTACGCATGGCACCTAATTTGTGGGTGTCAGAAGTATCCTCTTGTATTACATCGTAAGATTTTATAAAGCAAAGATTGGAACATCTTTAAATCACGTGCCACAAAACGTATCTGGGTTTGGAAGGATACTCCATTTATTTAATGCAGGGAAAATTAAAAACTTGACTGAAACTCCTCACAGTCCTATGTATACAGATCTAAAATACCATAGGGAAATGTGACATTATTATTGCACGCCAGTCATAACTAGTTCATAACACTAGGTTAGCGCATTTGAGTGCTATATTGCTGCAGACAATCCTCTAAAAGTGACAAGACTGACGATAGTGTCCTGCACACAGTACTCGCCCAATTGGTGCTTCCTCAAGCCAACCTTGTCAAACGTATCCAATGGTAAAATAAAGCCGAACACTCTGGTGTTGGGGCAAACATGTAGATTCTTCGTTCTTACTTGAAGTTAAAACGTGCAACGTTCCAACCCAAAATGACCTGTCTCAAAACTTGATCAAGGTTCTTTTTGACTGAAAATTGCCTTGTGTATTGTATTGCCAAGTGATTGGACCCTTGCATAAGGAAGGTAGCTTTCCTGGTGAAACGTTGTTGCCTTTAAAATTCAAAAAGCCATGATATTAAACAAGCCTATTGTATATATTTTTATGTTCTCTAGGAATCCAACAATCTTCTTTTAATTTTTCACAACCGTTACAAATTTGATTTAATTTTCCGCAGAAAAATAAATCTCATCCCAAATAACTTTTGTTATTGGCATTTTATTTTATATCTAATACAGAATAGAAAGTAATAATGTTAATTTCTAAGGTTTTATTTTAATTGAATGTCTTATTCAGTCAGATGTGCAATTCTATGTTTTTAGCACCATTTGGGCAAAATTAGAAACCTTGCTTCTCCATTTTGGGATAAGACCTATTCGTACCTAGTAGGTAGAACTAGGTATATTTCTTTATTTTTTTTTTTTTTTAAAGTAGGTGTGCATTAAGGTACAATCTTAGCAACTTAATCACTTCAGCTCACTGTCGAGGTAATGGTGCCCGGAGTACCGCAGCACCTCCCATTGTAAGGAGTCAAGTTGTTTTTGAACAGTTTGACTTCTCACCTGTGGTCCAATGAGAGCCTCTACCAAGCAATACAACAGACAGCCAGAAGCGCCTAAGCAGGAACTTCAATTGGCTCTTCTGAACTAAGCTGTGCAGGTCTAGCTCATTGACTGAAAGCATAAAGAGAGCTAACCAAAGTTTTTGCTTAGGAGCTTCTGGATTTCCGGTGTTCGTAGTGGTGACTGAGAGCAATGCCTAGTGGACACCAGCTAAGAAACCAGACTGTTCAAAAATGGTTTGACTCCTTACAATATTGGAGTGCCAGGATGCTTATGGTGCTTAAAGTGTTACATAATATTATAGGGCTCTACAACATCAACACGTATACAGTTTTTCCAGTGATCTGTCAGTGAATACCCACGGGGAAGTGTTTTATTTAATAAACTAGACATTATGGATCTGCATAATTGTATTTTAGTCGGGAACTATATTTATCATCCATACTATGTTTCCTTAAGTACTTTTACCTCCAGACACAGATGGAAATAGATATACTAGCATGTATTCAGAGCTAAAAGACTTCTCGTAATGTAATTATGCTGATAATAGAATTTCCGAAAACATTCATGCTTTACTGAACTATCAAATACTACGTGAGATTTTACATCCTGGAGGGTTTGGTTGCACTTATTGCCTGAAATGCCTAGTTTGTGCAGTTAAAATTCACATGCTTTTTTTTTTTTTAATCTGTAAATGTGTGTTAAAATATAATGTAATATTGTTTAGCAATTCTGTGAAAGCCTTGGTTTAGTCATGTACTTTAGTGGTACTGCAGAGAGTTCAGACTTTATTTGTTATGTATAATGTGAATGACCTGGCTAGGATCACCTCATATCTTTTATAAAAAAATTAGAGTAAAGAAAAACAGTTATTAGACTTGTAAATTTGTTTTCAAATGAGTTGTAATTTTTGTTGATCACCAGTTGTCTGAATGTCGGAATTCCAAAGTGTTGTATAGATGTAACATGAAGGAAACACTTACCTTCGACAATAACCTTGGTTTGATTCATGAATCAAAGGTCCGTCTGTGGTGTAAAAAAAAAAAAAAAAGATGGTTAGAGGACAGCCACTAAATAAAATAATAAAGAAAGTAGAGAGCAGCTTGACCGAACGTTAAAAATATGCAACCGAATGCTCAAAATAAACAAAACACTCAAATCTCGACTGAATTTGAATGATAAAATAGTGCGTAATATTAATTTCCTTGCTGAATGAAACGTGCTAGGCTATCCTCCTGAGAAATGCTTCTTTATGTTTTGCACTGATATGACACTAATTATTTTTCTGTTTTTAGCCCATTTTAATTAAAGGTATGTTTTATACAATCCCAAATTGTATCTATTTCATTTATGTCTACAAAATGGTGCAACACTAGGTTCCAAAAACTGTTAAATGTTGTATACTGTATAAAATAAAGTATCAGATAGTGGGAGGTAGCTAAGGAAGAGCTAAGACTATAATCAGTTAATGTGTATCTAATCAGGCCTTTTTTTTTTTTTTAAAGATCTCCTGTAACTGAAATAGACAAAATAAGAAATAGCAGATAAGAGGGAAGGAATCTAAGAGAACAGCGGTAATAGTGGAAACATGTTCAAATATTGCAGGAAGTAATCATATGGCCATAGGTAACAAGGTAATAGTGCTGTATCTATCTCCACTTGTACACCTTTACTAAAGGGTAAATAAAAAGCTACTATGACCCAAAGGAGAATATAAATAGGGACAGCAAATTAATGCCTCGACTGTTCTAAGGAAAACAACCTTCTACAAGCACAGGGCAGGAAATGAATACATGCAATAGAGCATAATACTTCAGTTGCTGCTAAGCCAGCAATTTACCGATACCAAAGGCATTGGTAAGGCATTTGTAGAACAGCTACTTTATTTATGATTTCAAGTGTTTGCCGGTGCATCCATGGATCGTGTCTGGTTGCTGTATGTCCTGAGACCAACCAACCCTGCTTTTGATGCCGGACTCCACTATCTGCTAATCGGTGAGCATTTATAAAAACTCTAAAGATTTTTGCTTTTTATTGTGATACATTTTGCACAAAAATGCAAGTTTGGCTGGTTTCCAGGATGCATTCCAGACTTCTGAGTGTTTTTTTAATGTAATATTAAATATAAATGGTTTCAACATAAAAAAAAAAAAAAAATTAGCTGCAACCTTTTCCAAAACTATGTAATGACCTAATCCCGTACTGCTTCCCAATGAGAAAAAAAAAAAAAAAAAAGGAATTCACCTCTTCTCCTTTTGGATGACAGAATACCTGTACAGGGTGTTCCCCAAAGTACCAAACACATGCTGAAGATGCGGGGGGCCGAGGGTACATTTAGACGGGGTGGGATTGTCCCTGATTAAACCTTTCTGGGAATTGGTCAACTCCAGGGACTCGGAGATCATGGGGGAGACCCCACCCTTCGAAATAGAAAATGTTCTCCTGCACGTAACCCTGTCCGTATTAGCCCAATACAAACAATTCAACCACCGTCACCTCCCAAATGCAGCCGAATCTCTGATACCTGCCGTCTGGAAAGAAAACAAGACCCAGTATGGAGCAGTAGGAAAAAATCCAGTCAACGGAAGCAATGCAGGCGTCTCTGATAGGGAATGACATAAAACACACGGACCTGTGGCGCCCCTGGTTTGGATCTGTGATGCAACCGGAAGCTGCACGCATAGGGGGCATGAGGGCTGACTCGCGGGGTCTTGAATAAGACCCCTGCCACTATGTCCCCCCCTTACTGCATTGCTCACTTTAATTATACTATCCTACAGAACAGCTTCATAATATATTTCAGCCAACTGCTTCATAATATATTTCCTTCTTTCTAACTACTGAGTCCCCTGAAGGCAATTACTTAGGTGAGCCTGGAAAGCGTAGCGGGAATCATGAGGACAAACCACCCTGTACTGACAAAGTCATAGACCAACTCAGAAAATCATTCCCTACAGCAATAAGGGACATATGAGAGATACGGAGACGCATACATATGCAACCACACCGATCCTGGCCTCAACCTAGTTCTCCTACCTCAAATTTGCCCGATTCCACAAGTTCTCGGCACTTGGTCTTACCAAAAGCACATGCATGACACAACAGACACAACAATTATAATTCAGATGCCCCCAATATAACCAAACCCGCTCGAACAAAAACCGAAACAAGTAAGATAATAATGACGTGGACAGAGCTTATTACTGAAGGGTATGTCTGCTACTGCATTATATTTGTGATAACTTGTAGTCCTCGATACCTACGCATTGGTATATATCTATCCCCTTTATTTTTATGCAATACTGAAAACCAACTACCTATTACTCAACTGCATATTTGTTTATATGCATTGATACCGGAGTCTCACACACATACCAATTGGCCTATTGTACTTTTATAACTATGTTTGTTTGCTTCAATAAAGCCTTGTTGACGACCAAAAAAAACGAATAAAAAGGAATTATCCAGTATCACTTTGGCACATTACAAAGGGCAGAAAATGTCTACTCCTTTCAAGAAGTAAAGTCAACAATGTCAATCTGTGTTTTAAAGGAACAGTGTCTTTACATAACTGTTGTTTACTGCAACATTTCAATGTATTAGACTAGTGTAACAACTTACATGGTGCCTGTGCCATGCATTGCAGGGTAATACAGTTATCTAGATAGGTCGGTGCAGGGTAAGATTCATTATCGGACGTGATTAATGCAGTCAAGAAAACCAGATATGTTCTCTCTGTAATGGCACAAGATGAGCTAAAACCAGCTTGAGTTCTGAGCGGGGATCCACCGAAGGGCAGGCTATTTCAGTCGTTGTCCATTCTCAGAATACTCTTGCGACCCGTTTTTTGCTCTCTATAAGTTTAAAGGGTAATCCAGACGTGGACCCCTTGCTCACGGTGCTTAGAGAGATATCAGCTATGCTTCACTGATGATGCCTAACAAGGCTGAAACGATCGTCTGGGGTTGCTGTGTCTCTTGTGCAGAGGGAACTTGCTGGCATATCAGATCTGGACTGCCCATATGGGTGGAACCAGTCAGATATGTTCTCTCTGTAATGGCACAAGATGAGCTAAAACCAGCTTGAGTTCTGAGCGGGGATCCACCAAAGGGCAGGCTATTTCAGTCGCTGTCCGTTCTCAGAATATTCTTGCAACCCGTTTTTTGCTCAAGTCAAGACAACCAGCACGAGAAAGCAGGTTGTGGTGTGGGTGCCCAGGGGACACAGGTAAATTGCTGAACAATTTTAAAACTGTTTAACAAATTACACTGGGTGGGTGCCAGGGCACTCTGGGCTGTAGTGGTTATTGTACTTCGAGTGTTCCTTTAACAGGCTAACCTAGGCTCTCATAACCTGTGGTCATAAGGGAATTTTTTCAAACCAAATTTTCAAGTGATTACTGAAAGGCCTCATTCTGGATCAAGTATTTGAAAAGAATACACAAAGAATACACAAAGAGATCACCATTTGCTTTGTGTTTTATTTCTCTTACACTGTTTACTGGACAAAATCTTCCTTCTCTAATCAAACTAGTAGCATGGATGTAAATTGTCTTAGACACAAAGCATCTGAAGTAAATAGGAATTTGGAATATAATCATTAGTATGCCAGACCAGGGATCCTATCTCACTCCAAAAACTACAAATAACAGAGTCCTATGGTAATGAGTCACCTTGGTTTAACAGTGTTGTTTTTCATAAATGGATAGAACTAGTTTTGCCCACAGTAAAAAATGAGAATTTTCCATGCAAAGTATAAATTGTAAAGAAATACTAATTTTCAAAACACATGCATGCTTTAAAATGACACTCTGGGAATCATAACCATTCCATCTTATTGACCTAACTGGAGTCTTCTGGTGCTGACCATCATGCAATGTTAAAGGGACTTTATAGGCACCGAGACCACTTCATCTCATTGAAGTGGCCTGGGTGCACTGTCCCTGTCCCCTTATCCCTGCAATTGTAAGTTTTGGAATTATTGATAAGCTGCAATAATTACCTTGAAGGGTAACTTCATCTCTAGTGGCTGTCTACCACTAGAGTCACTTCTGGGTCCTTAAAAGACTTTTGGTCCGCTAAATTACATTGAAGTGCTCACACTTTACATGTGACAGCTTTAATGTTGTCAGGACCGTGAGGGAGAGGGCACAATATAGGGTACTATAGTGCTAGGAACACAATTTTGTATTTCTAGCACTATAGTTTCCCTTGAAAGTATTTATGAGCACTTAAACACTGAAACAAGGTCCCTGGCTGCACAAAGTCCATGCCCTTCTGGAAATCTAGCTAAGCCAGAAATTACACTTCTAGTCATACCAATTCATTGGTAAGGCATTTGTAGAACAGCTACTTAAAGGACCACTATAGTGCCAGGAAAACATACTCGTTTTCCTGGCACTATAGTGCCCTGAGGGTGCCCCCACCCTCAGGGACCCCCTCCCGCCCGGCTCTGGAAGGGGGAAAGGGTTAAAAACGTACCTTTTTCCAGCGCTGGGCGGAGAGCTCTCCTCCTTCTCTCCTTCTCCGTTCTTCCTCCTGGGCTGAATGCGCACGCGCGGCAAGAGCTGTGCGCGCATTCAGCCCGTCGCATAGGAAAGCATTTACAATGCTTTCCTATGGACGCTTGCGTGCTCTCACCGTGAAAATCACAGTGAGAAGCACGCAAGCGCCTCTAGTGGCTGTCAATGAGACAGCCACTAGAGGATTAGGGGGAAGGCTTAACCCATTCATAAACATAGCAGTTTCTCTGAAACTGCTATGTTTATAAAAAAATGGGTTAACCCTAGAAGGACTTGGCACCCAGACCACTTCATTAAGCTGAAGTGGTCTGGGTGCCTAGAGTGGTCCTTTAATTTATGATTTCAAAAGTTAGCCGGTGCATCCATGGATCGTGTCTGGTTGCTGTATGTCCTGAGACCGGGACGTACTCCCGATATCCCGTGTCTAGTTGCTGTATGTCCTGAGACTTGAACATATTCATTGGGTGCCCTCATAGGCTGAAAGTGGTCAGCTGATTCTCTCAGCCAATCATCCCCACCCATTGCTGCTCAGGGTAATGCTTCCTAATTAACTTGAGCAGAACAGAAGGGATGGGCTGCTAAAGACACTCGTTAAGCATTAAAACATTAAAAATGGAAAGATGGATATTCCTGACACCATGACCACTTCTTTGAGATGAAATAGTTACAGTGCCTACAGTTTCCCTTCAAAAGTAGATTCACATTAGAAATGAAGGGGTCTGTATATTGAGGATGTCATAACATCACTTACCTGTGTGATTGTACTACGAGTTACCATAGTAACTTAATCTTCATGTCTTATAGTGACAAATGAAAAACATTATTCCTAAATTTTTGTGTAAATATTTGATAAAGACTTCAATTATTTTTAAACATCCAAAAGTCTCTCCTAGCTATCTGTACTACATAGAAGAGCTTTATGGGCTCTCCTTCAGCTTGTTGAGAACAAACTCAGTGGTGGGATTCAGCCGGTTCACACCGTGGGTTACCACGGCAACGCTGTGACACATCAATTGCTGGAGACCGCAAGACCTCTACTCCATGGTCTGCAGCTCTGCACCTGGTGGAACTGCAGACCGGAGGCAGTGGCAGACTGGATACCTAGCCCACTGGACCAACAGGGAGGAGGAGACCACTGGACCACAAGCAAGGAAGAGACCACTGGTCCACCAGGGAATGGATTGAACAAAAAAAAGGTATTTAACTAAGCCACAGCCTCCCCACATGATACCCCCCCACTGCCACAATCCCCTCACCCTACCACCCCCAGCTGTCACTATCCCTCACACTACCACCACCCCAATTGTCACCATCCCCCCATTGTCACCACCATCACCGTCATTATCCCCACCACTGTCACAATCCCCCCACTGTCACCACTTCCCACACTATCACCAACAACCCCACTGTCACCATCCCCCCATTGTCACCATTTCCCACCCGGTCACCACCAACGCCACTGTAACCACAACCACTGTCAGCACTTCCCCCACTGTCACCATCCCCTTCACTGTCACTACTTCACACACTGTCACCACTTCTCACACTGTCACCACCACCCCCACTGTAACCATCCACCCCCCATTGTCCCCACCACCCACACTGACACCACCACCCCCAACTGTCACCATCCCCCCAATTGTCGCCATCTACCCCACTGTCACCACCACATCACTGTCACCATTCCCCCAATCTCACCACTTCCTACACTGTCACCACCTCCCACACTGTCACTACTTCCTACAATGTCACCACCTCCCACATTGTCACCTGCCCTCCACTGTCACCATTTCTCACACTATGACCCTCCCACACTGTCACCCTCCCACACACACTGTCCCCATCTGCCCCACTGTACCCATCCGCCTCACTGTTACCATCCACTCCATTGTTACCATCCGCCCTATGGTCACCACCTCCCACACTGTCACCACCCCACATTGTCCCCATCCCCACACTGTCACTATCCCCCTACTGTCACCCTCCCACACACACTGTCACCACCCCCACACTGTCATCCACACACTATAACCATTGCACACACTATCACCCACACACACTGTCCCCCCCCACACTATCACCCTACACACTGTCTCCATCTCCTCCCTGTCACCCTCCCACACATACTGTCACCATCCCCCCACATTATAACTTTACACACTGTCACCATCCCACCACACTGCCACCAATCACACACACTACCACCCCCCACTGTCACTATGCCCTTATGCTACCATCACCTCCACTGTCACCCCCCACTGTCACCACCTCTCACACTGTCACCATCATCCCACACTAACCACCTTTCATATTGTCTCCATTCACACACTGTCAGCCTCCCACAGATACTGTCACCCTCCCACACATACTGTCACCACCCAACACACACTGTCACTATCCCACACACACTATCACCCACACACAGTCACACTCCACACAAATGATCTATCCCACACACTGTTCCCCTCACACTGTCACCTTCCCCACACACTGTCACCCTCCCACACACTGTCACTCTCCCACATACACACTGTCGCCCTCACTGGAGGCAGAGAAATGGCACAGACAGGCTAAATTCAGAAACATGGCACAGAAAAGGCTGGTGGCAGAGAGATGGCACAGATATTCTGGTGGCAGAGAGGCAGAGAGATTGCACGGAGTGGCTATGGGCAGAGCGGTGGCACAGAGATGAAGGTGGCACAAAAATGGCACAGGAAGGCTAAGGGCAGAGAGATGGCGCAAAGGGCAGAGAGCTAGCACAGAGTGGCTGGGGCAGGGAGATGACAGAGTGAGGCTAAGGGCAGAGAGATGGCACTGGCAGGTTGTTTGGGGGCACATGGCACTAGCAGACGTTTTGGAGCCACACGTGGCTCATTGGCATGATATACAAAGTTTAAGAATTTACTGCTCTTTGTCAGGAATAGCTGATGGCCAACACGCAGAACTTAAGTAAATATAAAGGAAAATCCCAAGACATATTACCGGGCCTTAGAATGGCCGGATTTAACGTATAAAGGTAAAAAAAAGCCACAAGACAGGATAATGACAAGAACCCAGAAAACACGGAAGCAATGAACAAGCCAAGAGTCAAGGAATGGAGAATTCAGAATAGTCAGGAGCCAAGCAAAGGTCAAGGAATACAGAGATCGGATAGTCAGAAGGAAAGCCAAGGTCAAATCAATGCCAGAAACGTGCTCTCGGATAACCATAATGGAAACCATGACAGGGCACAGAGAAATGGACAAACAAGGTTAAAATTGCCTAAGGTACTCCCTAATTGGCTGCACACGTTCCAAAATGTATGACACTATAAGGCTTAATAACAAACCCTTAAAATGAACAAAGCTGCAGCGGCCGGCGTCTCTAATGATAACAGACCCGGCCGCTGTGTGAGGGGGAGGAGCTACCACCAGGAGTGAGTGATGGGCGGCATTCCCATTACCACGTGGGAATGCCGCCAGACCGAGATGTGTCCGCCATACCAGTCCTCTCCCGGGCATGAGCAGACCTGGCGGGTGTCTACCGGACACGTGAGAACCCGGCGGCATTCCCCTTGAGGTGTGGGAATGCCACCGTTATGAAGCGGCGTGACAGATATTCAGGATGTTTGCATTTACTGTTCATTGACATGATATACCACGATTATGTATTTATTGCTTAATTGGCATGATATATCAAGTTTATGCATTTGCTGCTCATTGGCAAGATATACAAGGTTTATGCATTTATTGCATTAATAGAATTACCCTGCCGCCCATGTGTTTTTGCCAACCAGGGCATATGTGTGCACGCATGACTTAGGGGGGGTGAGGGGATGGAGTCTTGATCTCAGGCAGCACAATGTCTTGGGCCGACCCTGTGGAGTTGGAAACATATGAAAAGTCGGAACTGGTTACTAACATTTTTGAATCCCACTACTGAACAAACTCATATATTTGTCGGAAACTTTTGTAGTTATGAATTAAAATGAAGCCTCGTGTTAGCTGGAAAAAAAACACATTGCACTTTCTGTGCAAATAGCTTAATTTTTTTTAAATCAAAACCCTAATTGCAGATGAGTTTATTACAGGGTGTATACATTTCAGTGCAAAAGTCTCAAACTGCAGTGCTTCATGGGATGTATACATAACTCTTAATGATTTCAGGAATTTCCTGGTGCAGTTCAAATTCATGGCTAATGTTGCAGAATATATTATTTCTTGTAAAAGCAAGAACCTAAAAACAAACAAACTTTTTTTCATTTTATTTTACTTTTTAAAAAGGTTGTACATGTTATACGTTAACCAGGCACAACATTAAAACCACCTGCCTAATATTGTGTGCTTCCCCCTCGTGCTGCCAAAACAGCTCTGATACGTTGAGGCATGGACTACACAAGACCTCTAATCATGTCTGGTGGTATCTAACACCAAGATATTATCAACAGATCCTTTAAGCCCTGCAAATTGCGAGCTTTGGCCTCCATGGATTGGATTTGGGGCCCCAGCACATCCCACAGATGCTCAATCGGATTGAGATCTGGGGGATTAAAAGACCAAAGCCATACGTTTATGTAGTTTGACACTGTGAAACGACGTTGAACGTCCTCACACTTTGCATGAGGACATCCAACGTCTTCTAAATCCCCATAGGAAAGCGTTGATTCAGTGCCTTCCTGTGGATAAGCCCTATTGCACACGTTGCATTCGCCACACATGCGCACTAGGTTTCCCCATTAGCTAATGTCGGAGGAGGATATAAAGCCAAAAGTAACACTGAGACATAACCTTTATTCCTAATAAATTATTTCATTCTTTTCCAAATACGATGATTATATTTCCAGTGTGATTGTGTAAATCTGTGATATAGTGAATGTGAGAACAGAATGTTCTAAAAAAAAAAAAAAATTCCACTTTAAAGCCTAGAGTGTCATAAACAGAAATCCTAATGCAATTAAAGTATTAGGAGTAGTATTTCTTTTTAACATCTGGAACATCTTATACTCTGTAATATGAGTGGCTGACATTTATATGTTTATTCAAAGCAATTTTGATTCTGACAAATTGTTGATAGGGAATACCCAGCCAGCTATATCTTTATTTAGACAAGACCAGATTTATTCAAAACAAAAATATAGGGCTGGTACTTAGAATATCAGAATATCAGTCATCTGTTTTAATTTGGACTATTTTGTCCCAAACCCTTTTAAAGCTGTAACCTAAGCCCTTACTCCTAGCCACTGGCATGATATAATCTTACTATCTCTCTGTCAGAGCAAAATTACTGAACTTCCATTCTAAACTTCCAAATGATGATTGATAGATTGAAAGGGTTAATGCCGACTGGATAGGGATGAATTCTGCATTACGCTGTTGTGATTACATTTGTTTTGTGGCTGATATATGAGGCAGTAAAGTGAATTTCCCCCCCTAACACTGAAGACATACAGAGTTTTTCAGTAAAGTTAGAATTGTCAAAATTCATTGCAAATGCAAAGTGTAAGGCCAAAGCTTTTGCGTTTTAGCTATTTTGGTTTTACATCTGAAATTCTCTTTGAAGTCTCTTTTTTATCCATTCAACTAAATATAACGTTTCAATATTACATGTGGCTCATTGCCTACCTTTAAATGAATTTAAAAGGATACCATAGTGCCAGGAATATAAAGCGTAATATTCCTGGCGCTATCAACCCCCCCTCCTTCCTTACACCCCACTGCCCAGGTACCCTTTATTTACTTACCTGATCCCAGCGCCATTGTGCTTCAGCGCTGGGCCAATGCTAGGCTCCCTCTGAAGTCACACGCATTGGACCTCCACATAAGAAAAGCATTGAATCAATGCTTTTCTATGGGGAGAAATCTGACGCTTGGTGTCCTCATGCAGAGCGTCAGATACCGAACCAAAGATCCGTTTCGATCCTGGAAGTCCTCTAGTGGCTGTCTGGTAGATGGATGTCTGGTAGACAGCCACTGTGGGCAGACTTAGAGCTGCAATGTAAACCTATAATGTTTAACATTGCAGCACTAGGTGCAAAAGGGACACAGCACCCAGACTACTTCAATAAGCTGAAGTGGTCTGGGTGCCTACAGTGTCCCTTTAAAGGTATCCAGTGTGTTATCACCCTTTGCACTAAAGCCCAACACTTTTAATATTTAGTCATTTTTTCTTTATTTCAGTGCTTTCATTGTGTATGATAAGTATGTATTCAATTACTAATGAATACAAACTAAATAATGTCGTTCAGTGCCAGCAAATTAACTTCAAGGAACAGATTGCAATAATGATAACGCAGCATTTATTTCAATGTGTTAAATTATCATGGATGTAATTGGTATAATGAATTTCAGTGACATTTCATCATCAAATTTAAAGTGGAACATTAAAAGTATGCAGCTCAATGAGAAGTCTTTGCAAGGCAGGTGCTCTGGTCAATTGCTGCCTCCTGAGTTTAGCTCTTCTGAGCTAACCAAACCAGGAAGTAACATACAAAATTCTAAGATGTTATTGACAGTAATTGCAAAATAAAAAATCCAGCGCACTCTTTTATCCACTAAATTCTATCTGGGGCTCTCTGCAGTACAAGGCTAAATAAAGCCCTGGGATGAGGCACCTGTGACAGGGAGGGGTGCAAAACCAAGGAGTTGGCTAGACTCCCATATATATATATATATATATATATATATTTATATAAACGCTGTCAATCAGGAGCACTCACTTGGATTTTCAAAAGTGTATTTATAAAGTGTTAATCAACCTACATCAACATTTCGACCCCTCAGGGTCTTTATCAAGATGATAACAACGTACACAAACTGCATATATATAGCCAAATACAAAATATTTAACTTACCCCATCTGTGAAGTGATTCAAGTGTCCCATCGAGTGCTGATCGGAAGTGCCCATTCATAATGACGTTCGCGCATGCGTGCGTGATGACGTGCCCCTAGCGTGACTGCGTGTAAACAATCGGTGACCATAGAAACCAAGTGCCCCCAGTGTAACTCGTACTAAATGGAAGATCCAAAAGATGAATGAAATGTAGTATGTAATGGAATTAGGATAACAGAAAACCCAAGTAGTCTAATCCAATATCGAAGAAAAAGCCTATATAGTGTCTATATACTAATAATGAAACAGATGGGTGTCTGTTACACAGAGTAGGTGAGTGTTAAAAGTGAGTGTAAGAATGTATAAGACAGATAATGTGTGAGAAAATTACGGTTTAAATAAGGAATGAAAGTGTGTGTGTAACTGAACAAGTGCACAAAATACAGCACAAAAACGTGTAAATAAAACCAAAAATCCAGTGCTGTGTGTATAATCAATGTGAAGAGGGAAAATATAAAGTACAGACCCCCACAGCATATTAAAACATACATCACAATGTAAATAATAATTGGATCATCAAATCTCCAAATCCCAGTATTAACAGGTAGTCTCAGCATAATATATGTGGGTAAAAATCCCTCAAAATAAAACTAGTCCCAATTAATAAACAACAACAAAAGACCAGGAAATCTGAGGACAAAAAAGAGGTATACCTAACAGAATATGCAAAGACATGAAAAATATATCCATGTACAGGATACAGGATGCTGAGACTAAACATTACCTAGCTATAAGAGAAAAAACTGAACTACACAACCTACATGAAAATCAGTGAACAATAAACCATAAGCAAGGAAAAAGTCATAAATTGAAAAAATGGACTCTGAACTGAACGAAATATACTAATTTAACCCCTTAGGTTGTATATTGTCCAATTGTTTAATCCAAAAGGTCTCTTTCTGGAGCAATAATCTTGACCGGTCTCCTCCTCTCGTTAGGGTTGGTATCACATCAATGGCAATAAACTTAAGAGTTGGTAATCTGTGGTTAAATGCAAGAAAATGTTTAGCCACCAGTTTGTCAATTGCTTACTTTTATTTGTTTTATTGCTGTTACATCTTTGAATACCAAGAGGTCCCTGAGGAAGTCCACCTGGACGAAACGCATAGGACCTGGTACCATAACAGCTTACTTATATACTTATATTTTTAATTCTTTTAAATAAAGAAGAAATCCTTTTTTACTCCACACCCTGAGTAGTATTTTGCCTTCCTTGGAATAGGAACAAGTGATTCCGCCCCCCATCTACATCAGGGGAGGCACCCTTGGGTGCTATCAATTCATCTATCTTGTGAGTTATAATCTACACAGCTCACTTATACTTAACAAAACAGTGTTGCACTATTATTTTGTTCTTTTTTGTAGATCTACAGCTGTATCCTCATCTTGTATATATCTCTATATATATAAGAGAAAACAGGGTGGTGGCTGCACTCACGTGAGCATGCATAAACAGGGTGCTGCTGGGAGCCTGGGGTCTGGAGTATCCCTTTAACTGAAATGAAACATTTCTCAAAAGTATAATAAAGCAATTAGTTTAGGTTACAAAAAGTTTAGCTGTTATTATCACACAGTTTGCGAGTGGTGGATGAATCCATTTTGGAACGGCATACACATTTCTAAGATGTTACTGACCGTAATTGGAACAGACAAGACTGCAGACATAACAGCGAAGTCTTTGACAGCCCGAGCCACCCCCAGCTATGTATTGCACAATGTACCTTGAACTTGCTGATTCTGTGTGCCAAAATACACTTCTACATTTTTTAGGCATTTAGTGGGGAAATAAATGCATTTTCTCCACTACTGTATGCAATGATGTATGTTTTGTATGTTTCTCAATAAAGACTTACTGCATGCAGACAATATAATAATAATAATAATAATAATAATAAAAATAATAAAATACTGGTCTGTGATATCATTTCTAAATAATTGGTTAAACTACAGAAAGTAAACTAAGGACACAAGTGTAAAAAGTAAAACTTTCAACATTTACGTTATATTCCTTGGCAAATAATTTGTACACACTGTACTTAACAGTATAAAAAAAGTATACATTTAAAGTTATAAAGTACAATTGTAGACTTTGTAGACTAAAATTGTGCCATGTAAAGAAATTGATGCTTAGGAAGACTCTGCAAAAGACTGTCCCATCCCATTGTAAAATAAAGTCAATATGTACGACGGCACGGGAGCAAATAAGCAGCTTAAACCTGTCTAAGAACTGCGTCATCATTAGTTTTGTTTGAGGTGCAGAGTGACAAGTCCCACCAATCCCCAAAAAATACACATTTCCAATCTCCACCATGTTCCAACCATATAGATTTTTTCTTTTTGGAATTCCAAATATCCAGTATTCCATGTTTGCAGTTATTCTACATGGGTGTATTTTTGGTGGCTTGATCGGAGATGACCCTCTTAATGTGACATGCCCTGACCTGTGCCACTGCACTTCTGATGATGACATTTCCTGCACTAAGCTGGGATTCAAAAAACTTCCTCACGATTTACCTGCTTCAACCATTTCACTTAACCTAGAAGGCAATTATTTACGAATTCTGATGTTCAACGAATTCAAGAATGTCCCTTCTCTTCAAGTCCTTTGGGTAAGCCAAAATAATCTAACCTTTCTGTATCCTGGAGCATTTATTTCACTTAGCAATTTAAGAGAGTTGAATCTTAGAAAGAATTCAAGATTGACCTACCTCCATGCTCACACTTTCAGAGGTCTGTTAAATCTCATTTCGTTGGACATCTCCCATTGCAACATCTTCGAAATCCACCCTCTTGTATTTTCACATTTAGTATCTTTAGAAGGTCTTGAGTTAGGCTTCAATAAAATTCATTATATTCCGGAAGCTCTAAGGAAACTCCGCAATGTGACAAAGTTATCTCTGGAAAACAATCTGATAGAAGCCATTGGGAAAAATTCTTTCAAATATCAGCAAGCTTTGGAAGATCTTAGTTTACGACGGAATCGGATTTGGGTGATTGAAAGTGATGCCTTCGACCAACTAAACAAATTGAATGTTCTAAATTTAGGACATAACTCACTATCTTATTTGCCTAATCAGATTTTTAGAAGCTTACGCCAGCTCAGGATTATGTATCTAGAAGCTAACAAGATCACTACAATCAACTGCTCGTTTAACAGTCTTGTTAACTTGAAAAAATTACATTTGAATAACAACCGCATAACGAGCATCACACAAAATGCATTTTCTTCTTTAAATCAACTTCAAATGCTTCACCTGAGCAAAAATAACTTAACCTTCATTCCCAGCTATTTGTTTTCAAACATGCCCAAACTGAAACACGTTTTCCTTTCTTCTAATCCTTGGAGCTGTGACTGCAGAATGTCTTGGACTGCAAACTGGATGCTAACATACACTGGGGCAATCCATGGCTTACATTGTGTCTTCGCTTTGTCATACGCAACAACCTCTGATGTGTTTACACAACATGGAATTTTGTGTTCTCAAGAAAAAGGCACGGATGACAGATGTGTAGAAATCTCCACCGATGCTTCTCCTAAATTAATGGATCATTTTAATATTTTTCTATTAATTTTATTTTTATTCAATCACTGTTGAAATCACTGTTTGACATTTTCAATGTTTATGAAATGTCTGGTTAAATTATTTGTTTGTGTGTTTGTTCAGCTTGTTCTGTGCCTTTAATTAAGTATAATAGTTTAGGTATTTGTACATGTACTTTGTATTCTGTGAATTATTTTATTTTTGACAATCTCCAGTTTTGTACATCACTACTGAACATGTAGATGATTAAAAATAGCAATAAATAATATTAACAATTATTCATGAGATCTCATCAGACTTATTTCAGAAAATCTAAACCAATTAGTGGGTTTCTGAGTGCCATGCCAACAATAACTAGTATTGGGATTATGTGTACCATTCTTTAATTCCTTTTGTACATCATTATGGAACATATTAGATGTCTCGAAATAGCAGTAATTAATTATTGAAATATTTGTACATGGGTTCTCACTAGACTTGCTTCAGAAATTTGAAATCACTTACTGAGATGCTCAGTAATTTTCCAGTAATAGCCGGTATGGAAAGATCTGGGCCACTTAAAGGAACCTTTAGATTGTTTTACATTTTTTTTATAAAGAAAAAATATGTGTTGGACTTGCAGTGCCTCCCTTTAACCTGTCCATGAAAAGTGGTTTGGAAAATTACATCTTGAAATGCAGAAAATTCATTTCCTCTTTCTCTAGGGTTCTTGTTTTAAAAAAATTACTTTTAACAAAAAAACTTGGGTTGCTTAATTGGCAATTACACATAGGACAAAGCAGCAACCATGTGTATGAATTGCTGCTAATGGATACCTAAAACATGAGAAATATGTAAATGTACACAATTTCATTTCTTTAATTAATTTGTTTATCTTACAGAAATATTCTGATGCATAGAATGTATATATATATATAAAAAAACATAAAAGAATGTAGCGCTTATACAGTTCAATTTCCACTTATATAATAGTCTCTGAGGGGTATGTTCAGCATTGGTAACCAAGTACCTAAAAATAAAAAATAATCGCATATAGTGTAGATGGTATATTATTAAAAAATCTCTGATGTAGAAATATAAGAATAAACTCACAAACAGAGAGCTGTAAACTCAGCTCTAGTTGGTATCGCTTTTGGATCCGTTTAGGCGATCCTCCCCTTATCCGAATTTTTCTCAGCTTGATCTGAGTTTACAGCTCTCTGTTTGTGAGTTTATTCTTATATTTCTACATCAGAGATTTTTTAATAATATACCATCTACACTATATGCGATTATTTTTTATTTTTAGGTACTTGGTTACCAATGCTGAACATACCCCTCAGAGACTATTATATAAGTGGAAATTGAACTGTATAAGCGCTACATTCTTTTATGTTTTTTTAGTGTTCTTTCATTTGAGGTGTTGGAAGCACCACATGAATGTTTAGCAGCTAACTTGTATATATTCGTTATTCAATGTATTGATTTTAATTCTCTACAATAAGCGCTGGTCCTTATTTATTATAATTATACGTATCTTTGCTTTCCAAATTTAAAGGTACCTAGCAGCTGAGTATTTAAATATGTCATTGTTCGATAAGAGGAGGAATATCCATGTAACTATGGAACAAGAGTTAGCTAATTGGTCTAGAAAAATGACACCTAAACCATTACTAACAACACCAAAGGTTTGTAATGACCTAGAGAGGTTACTAGAGAGAGAACTAAAAATAAAATGGGAAATAGCTACCCTAGAGAAATATATTGAGGAGAAAATAACACCAAGAGGGTTAAGATACTTTAAGATGCCAACCTTTGACAAAGATAACGAAGGATTTATGTCCGAATGGAATACCATGTTAGAGAGTTTCTCCTTTAGTAGTATGCATTTAATTATTAAAAGGAGAAAAGAAAATTTAAGAGAATTAGATATTGAGATTAATAAATGCCAAGACACACTACTTAATTCTGTGAATGAGAAACAGTTTGAAGAAACCACTATACTCATTGAAAAGAATTTAGACAGATTGGAAAAAGAAGTTATAGGCATTAAGAAAAAGAAATACCTTAGGGATATTAAAGACTATGAGTTCAAACAAGTCAGATCATTTTCCAAATATAATCAACAGACTACAATTCATGTAAGGGAAAAAGATACCCCAATTAAATGGAGGAATAAAAGTCCAGATAAAACATATGAACGATATTCCAACATGAATTATAATAATTATCAGACAAAACACCAATACCCCTATAGGTATCATCAGGATAAAATAAAGAATGAACATAAATCACGTCAATACTCATATGTGGGAGAACGAGAATATAAAAACCCTAGAGGAAGGCATATAAGCAGAGATAGAATCCCATACAGACACAGGAAGGACTCTCACAATTACAAGGATTCAAGAGCATATAGGTACCCTCAGTATAGGGAGAAAGAAATTCCCTTAAGAAATAGATATGAAGCTTTAGCGGATAAAAAAGAGGAGGAGGTTTTTTGGCAGAGCAAAATGAAAGACAGACACAAGGCAGAACAAGAAACAGACACCCCTACCAATCCCAGAAAAAGAAGGGTATCACCCTCAGAGGAACAAGGGGAGGGAGATTTACACAGGCCAAAAAGAAGAGAGTTACACCTAAGAAACTAATGCAAGGTATTTTTAACTTAAGTAATAAAGTTCTAGATTCCAACCATATATCTGTACTCAATAAAGGACTTAAGTTTGCACCAAATACAGGTCTTAATCATTTTGACATGTATATTGATATAAATCGATTTAAACGAAGTCTGTGTTTGAAGAAATTTTTTATTAAAAATCCCATAAATAAAGATCATTTGAATTCAGAAATTCATGCAATAGAGGCACCGGATTTTAAACATACAACCTTAAAAAATAAATCGACCTTCTATCCAAAACAAATGATTTCTAATGAAATGATCTCTTTTGAAACTATGGTTATGACAGAAATTAACAAAATAAACTCCAAAGATAATTTTAAGAATAATTTAACACCAATGGAGAAAAAAGCCTTAAAGGATATACAGACAGATGATGATCTTATTGTGAAACCCGCAGACAAAGGAGGGGGCATAGTTTTAATGTCTAAAACCTTTTATAATATGGAAGCGGAGAACATTTTAAAGGACACAAAAACTTATCAACAGTTGAATAAAAATCCAAGTGAGGAGATAAATAAGAGATTCCAAACGTTCTTTGAGAAAGGCCTAAATGAAAAAATTCTGGACCTTAAAGAATTTCAATATCTAAACATTAAATTTCCAAAGACCCCAGTTTTTTATTTCTTACCTAAAGTTCACAAGGATATCAATAAACCACCAGGTAGACCTATAATAGCAGGAATAGATTCTGTTTCGAGTAAGCTATCTCAATATATAGATGTGCAGTTACAACCGTTAGTGATGCAAACTAAATCCCATATTAAAGATACTATGACTGTTTTAAATCTTTTAGAGAATACGATTTGGAGTTCAGATTATTTTTTAGTTACATGTGATGTAACTGCTCTTTATAGTAACATACCACATTCGTATGGATGTAGGGCAGTAGAACATTTTTTAACTAAATGTAATGATTTTTTACCGAAACAAGTGGATTATATATTGGAAGGAATAGGACTGATATTGAAGAATAATTTCTTCTGGTACAATGAAAATTATTTTTTACAGATTAACGGGACGGCCATGGGGACCAAGTTTGCCCCCAGTTACGCCAATTTATTCATGGCCTTCTGGGAAGAGCATTTTGTATATGAGGGCCATAACTGGGGGGAGAACTTGGTCCTTTATGGCCGTTATATCGATGACATTATGTTAATATGGAGAGGTGAAGAAACAGAGCTGACCAAGTTTTTAATGTTTTTAAATAATAACGACTGGGGTATTAAACTAACGACTACATACAGCAAGGAGAGTATTACATTTTTAGATTTAGACATTTTTGTAGAAGAGGGGAAAATCCAAACTAAAAACCATTTTAAACAGGTGGACTGTAATAGTTTTATTGAGAAGATTAGCTGCCATCATTCTCCGTGGTTGGAAAACGCCCCTAAAGGGCAATTCCTCAGAATTCGGAGGAATTGCAGTGACGTGACTAATTACGAAGACCAGTCACTGCGTATAAAGACAGATTTTATTAATAAGGGATATGATGCATCCAAATTAGAAAATTCAAGACTGGAGATTAAAGGTAGGGAAAGAAAAGAACTATTGACTTATAAAACAAAAACTAACAAGACAATACAGGATGTCCCGTTTATTTGCAACTTTAATACAAGCAATCATCAAATACGTAATATTGTAAATAAATATTGGCCTATATTACTCCAGGACCCAACCCTTAAACAAATTCTTCCAGAAAAACCTAGAATGATATATAGAGGAGCAAAAAATCTTAAAAATACATTAGTAAGAAGTTTTATAAAGGAAAATAACCATTCCTCCACGTTGTTCAAAGACGAAAAGGGTTTTTATGGATGTGGGCAGTGTACAGCGTGTAAAAAATCGGGATGTCACAGAAGGATAATAAAGGAAGTAATTAATAACAGAGATGTCACCATTCCAATCAAACAGTTTATGACCTGTTATACTAAAAATATAATCTATCTCCTGGTATGTCCATGTGGACTTAAATATGTTGGGAGAACGACAAGGCCTTTACACACAAGAATCAGAGAACATATTTACAAAATCCAAATAGGATTTGAACAACACAGTGTCTCACATCATTTTAAAAAATTTCATAACCAGAAACCAGAAGGTTTGACTTTTATGGGAATTAAGAAGTTAAATAAGAATTGGAGAGGGGGGGATTTTATTAGAGAGCTAGGTAAATTAGAAATGGAGTGGATCTATAAGTTAGATACCTTGATCCCCCATGGCTTAAACTCAGATTTTGAGTTATGCCATTTTTTATAAATTTTTTTTTTTTTTTTTTTTATATAGTTTTACGCTTTTTCATGCATTTATGTAGATGGATGTATTTATATTATTATATGCACTACTTATTTCCCAATTATATTAAGGGAATTTGTTTGTATGGATTTTTACTTTATTTATTGAATAAAGGAAGATATAAAAATATGTAAAGAAAGATGAAAAAATAGTTTTCATAATTAAGATATTGTATTAAGTATTTGAAATAATTAATAAGG